AATGCCCCCTGCAGGGCACAATTGTCCCTGGTTAAAAACCCTTGGTGTAGAAGGTACCTGAGTAACAATGTATCAAAACAAAATGATGTGTTCTTTAGCTATTAGACCTCTAATAAATTAATAGGTGTACACTCACACAAACCATTCTAGGAATCTTTGAAGAGGAAGGATTTTTGTTTTGTTTTGATGACATTTACTCTATTTATCGAAGTTATATTTAACCTACCAAGAGAAACAACAGAAAGGGAATAGACTGAGAGGTGTTAGGTCCTTTTTGGAATGAGGCAGGGCCTCAGTAAATATATACAGACTTAACTTGAGAAGGGAAAAGTCAAAACCTAAAGGGAGCGTTTAGATATTGACGGCAAGAGAACTGGGAGGTGGTCACATTTCCTCCTTGGTTCTTCCCAGGTAAGAGAGAGGACATTCAGATATGTTCCTTCTCATATCACTTGTTCAAAGTTGGGATTTAGATGACAGGTTTGGAACTTTCTCTGGAAAAGCACAGAAGATGCAGGGGTGTCCAACCTTTTTTTAATTCCTCTGCTGCACAGTGGAAGAATAAGAGTTGTCTTGGGCCGCACGTTAAATATACAGACACTAACAAAAGCTGATTAGCCCAAAAAGAAAAGTCCGTGCCTACTTTCCACGATATCTGGCACCACAGAGAAGCAAAAAAGGGTCCTCACAAAATCAGCGTGCAGCCTGTGGGCCACGGGGAGGAGACCCTATCAGCTGTGAAATTCATACAGCCATGAAGTCATCATTAACTCTCCAAACTGCGCTGAAGCTGTTTCTGATGGGCCTACAGCAGAGTTCTAGACTTCAGCTGTCCTCCAAGTACAGGGTGCCACTTGCACTGCCATCTATAAAGCCCTTGCTCCTCTTGGTTTTTTATGCAAACTAAAAAATTTACATACTTTTATATGCTGCATTATTTAATAAATACCACATGAAATTTATGTCTCTAAAGATATAAATTATCCATATCTCCTGAAACCTTTGTGAAATAGGTACAATGGGGATTTAGAAGCTATCTGAAAGAGGAAATGCCTGTGCTGGGCCCAGGGGATAAACTCCTACTTAGACATACGGATGAAAATGACGCAGTCACTCATGGGTGTCAAAGTGTGTATTTATAGTAAGCCAAGTAATTAACGTTCATTACTTATTTTAGACTAGAACTGCCAGGTAAAGAGTTATTAGTGTCTACTTTAGAGACTGGAAACAGTTCTGTGTAAGTTTTATAATATGCTCTTCCCGCTTAGCCAAACAAACACGAAGGCCTTAATCATGGTTTACTTTAATGCAGTTGTCAAAATCCTTCTTTACTCGGAGTGCTTATACCTAGCCACTTTTATGTAGAACTGAAATATGTCTTATGGGACCTGCTTTTGATTCAGCATTAAAAGTATTTTCAAGGACTTGGAGCCAAGATTATTAATTCATAATGGTCTATCTTTGGTTGACTACATTAACGGCATGTGTTGTTTTAGTAAGAGGGCCCATGAAATGAAAACATTGTACTCTGAAGCCTTAAATTGCTGTCCTTGAAAAATAATCATGGTAAAGCTAAGGTTACTTTGAAAATAATTCATTTTATTCATATTTTAAGAGCGATGCTTGATAGAAGGGGAGACACAAAATTGCTCTTCTTCATAAAACAAGCTACAGAGAAAGTCCAGGGCAGAATACCCTCGAAGGCTCTCCAAAAAGCTTCCCATCAAGGTAGCATTGCTTTCAGATCTGGACTGTTGAAAAGTGAGAGCTGCTGAACGGCAATGACCTTTCCCTTGTCCTTGTGAATAAGCTTTTCCTTTGCTTGCATGTGGTCACAGCACATGGTCACCTCTTGGAGTGTATGTCCCTGTCCTCAGAAATCCCCATTCTCCCAAAACTCAAAGGAAGGTGTTAAAGATAGGGCTTATGGGGTCTTTCTTGGTCTCTGAACTATAGAGAGAAAACAATCTATAGCTACAAAACCACCTCGCAACATGAAACAAGGTCACAGGAACATGATGGTCACTAACCCAACCACTGCCAAGTCTCCTCGGTAAAAAACAGAAAAAATCGGTTAGACATCACTTGGCAAATCAAGTGATCATATCTACTGGAATATCATATTCTATTGGGTAGGAAGAGTCAGACTACAGTCTTAGGAATGCCAGCTTAGCTATAATGGCCTAACTTTAACCACAAGATATGAAATCAGAAGCTTAGATATTTCTGTGTATGTATATGCACACTGCACTTTTCCAAGGGATGGGAAGAAACAAAAAGTATATGGAGGTTGTGTTACATTAAGGACAGTGACAGTGGCTCCTTACAGGTAGCATAGCATACATGTGGTTAGTACCAAAAAGTTTTTCTGACGTTATTGTGTTTGTATTAAGCAACAGATGAGAGTAACTATTATATAACCTAAAAAAAGAAGTTGTATTGAAAGTGGTAAGACAGGATAGACTATGGTTTAATTAAAGTCTTCAAGAATAATGTATATTTCCTTCTTTCTAAGAAATCTATTAGGGTATTTTAAATATATTGTTTAAAAACTCCTGGTTGATCTTTGCTTCTGGTCTTTACTTAAGTTAATTTCCTTGAATAATTCATTTTCCTCACTTCTGCCTTTTCTGCTTGAGTAGAGCAGTAGAATAGATGAGGACATGCTGAAGTGGATATGAGGACTCAGTTGCCAGAATACAAAATTAGAATCTACCTAAAAGGCTTTTTTGGAGGTTTGTGGAAAAATAAGTAGTCTGGAACCAGAGGTACCAATGGCAGAAGAATGTAAGACAGAAGGAATTAAAAACCAACAGTGCTATACTGGGAGGCAGCAAGCAAGGAAATAAAATTTTACTTTATTTATCTTTGAGACAGAGTCTCACTATGTCGCCCTCAGTAGAGTGCCGTGGCATCACAGCTCACAGCAACCTCAAACTCTTAGGCTTAAGCAATTCTCTTGCCTCAGCCTCCCAAGTAGCTGGGACTACAGTCCCCTGCCACAATGCCCAGCTATCTTTTTGTTGTAGTTGCTATTATTATTTAGAAGGCCCGGACCAAGTTCAAACCCACCAGCCCCCCATGTATGTGGCCAGCACCCTAGCCACTGAGCTGCAGGAGCCAAGTTGGAAATAAAATTTTTTTTTTTTTTTTTTTTTTGAGACAGAGCCTCAAGCTGTCCCCCCGGGCAGAGTGCCGTGGCATCACAGCTCACAGCAACCTCCAACTCCTGGGCTCAAGCGAGTCTCCTGCCTCCGCCTCCCAAGTAGCTGGGACCACAGGCGCCCGCCACAACGCCCGGCCATTTTTTGGTTGCAGCCGTCATTGTTGTTTGGCAGGTCCGGGCTGGGGATTTGAACCCGCCACCTTAGGTGTACGTGGCTGGCGCCCTAGCCGGTTGAGCCACAGGCGCCGAGCCGGAAATAAAATTTTAATGGAAGCCATGGAATCAGAATTCTAGATTCTAAAAAACTGTATGTAAGATTTAACCTCTTCTCATATAAGTGAGAAATTCAATTATACAAAAATGTTTGACCAGTGAATATCGAGGCCCTAACTATCAATTATTCGTTCACTATTATTCTGTGGCCATCTCTGGAAAATCTTCCAGGTATAGTAAGGAAGATGGGAGAGACTTACCTGACAATAATGCCTTATAAGCCGAACTGAAAGAGAGAGCTTTGGAAACTCAAGAGCCTCAGTTCAACCTGGATTTAAACCCAGAAAGTACAACCCATAGCCCATAATAAGGGACAGCCTAGGCTGGGCAGATTTTCCTGATGGAAATCCTGGCTACATTATTTCAGCTAGTAATTTGGAGAGAGTTATTTAATCTCTGTGAGCATCTAAGGTATTAAATGGAAATAACAATAACAAAGGATAAATTAGATCCTATCACATTGCTGATGAGTGTCTTCCAGTGGTCTCCGTCTAACTTGGAATAAAATGTATACTCCTTACTGAGGCTAGCAAGTCCCCCCACCCCCATGTAGCCTTTGCTTATCCCATCATTTTGATTTATTCTTTTCATAACCACTACCCCAAAACAGCTTTTGAATTTATCTTGTTATCTCTCTCCCTATCATGTCCTGTGCTACTAATAGCTAATACCTTGTCTTTCTCATCAATTGCTGTATCCGCAGAACCTAGAATAGTCCCTGGCACAAAGTAAGTGCTCACTAAATATTGGTTAGTTTGTTGAATGAATAAGTACATACTATGGCATATGAAGCATGTAGTACAGGGCCAGATAAGTAATAAACCTCCGTAATTGTTCGCTGCTTAATGTATTATGGTTCTGCTTCTGATTTTATTTGGAACTCAATTTACTGCTACCAAACATAAGCTTAAAATTGATGTCTTACTAAGACATCAACTAAGGGAAATACGATCTCATTTGAAAAGTAATCTCAGTTCCAGATTTTAGTGGTAAAATAAGAGAAAATTTTAAAATGCTTAATTCTTCCAATTTGGTGCACATTAAGAATTTTTGTTTGTGGCTCGGCGCCTATAGCTCAACCGGCTAAGGCGCCAGCCACGTACACCTAAGGTGGCGGGTTCGAATCCCCAGCCTGGACCCGCCAAACAACAATGACGGCTGCAACCAAAAAATAGCCGGGCGTTGTGGCGGGCGCCTGTGGTCCCAGCTACTTGGGAGGCGGAGGCAGGAGACTCGCTTGAGCCCAGGAGTTGGAGGTTGCTGTGAGCTGTGATGCCATGGCACTCTGCCCAGGGAGACAGCTGGAGGCTCTGTCTCAAAAAAAAAAAAAAGAATTTTTGTTCGTTTGTTTGCAACTGCAAAACAAACAGGTCCCAAAGGGAGAGAATATTGGTCTCTCTTTTTTATCTTTTAGGCCAAATCATCTTATCAAAGAGAAAGGGAAAACCGAATTTGCATCAGCTAAAATAAGATTGATCTGACTCTTCATTGGAAAAACAACATACCAACACAGTGACTAGTCAGAGGGTTAACCTGTGTTTCATTTCCATTTCCGCTGTAGGTGTTGCCACATCTGCAAACTTCCGGGGAGAGTCATGGGGATCCGAGCGCTCCGGTTCTTGTTGGTGGTCATCTTGGTGTTACTGCTGGTGGCTGGAGCTTTGAACACTTTACTTCCCAACGTCAAAGAAGACAAGATGCTCATGTTGCGCAGGGACCTCAAATCCCAGGGCAAGTCCGCCCAGGATTCCTTTACCCTGATCATGCAGACGTACAACAGAACAGATCTCCTGTTGAGAATTTTGAATCATTACCAGGCAGTACCACATCTGCACAAAGTGATTGTGGTGTGGAACAATATTGGGGAGAAGGGACCAGATGAGTTATGGAATTCCCTAGGGCCTCATCCTGTCCCTGTGATCTTCAAACAACAGACAGCAAACAGAATGAGAAATCGACTCCAGGTCTTCCCTGAACTGGAAACCAGTGGTGAGTAGCAGCTGGGTTCTCAGCCTAGAAAGGCTGGAGCCAACTGGAGCCGGGGCAGATGTGCAGGCATCTGGCCTTCTACTTGTCTTAACAGTCTAGAGAAAAATGGGGACGTCAGCCATGTGCCGTGGCTCATGCCTGTAATCCTAGAACTCTGAGAGTGCAAGGCCGGCAGACCATTTGAGCTCAGGAGTTCAAGACCAGCCTGAGCAAGAGCAAGACCCTGTCTCTAATAAAATAGAAAAAAATTAGCTGGGTGCTGTGGCAGGAACCTGTAGTCTCAACTACTTGGGAAGCTGAGGCCCAAGAGATTGATGTTGCCACAACATTCTATCCAGGAACACAGAGTGAGACTGTCTCAAAAAAAAAAAAAAAGAAAAGAAAGAAAGAAAAGAAAAAGTGGGGAAGTTAATCACAAGGAAGAACTTTGAAAAGCTGTAGGGCAATTTCCAATATGTCAAGAAACAGTCTCTTGGAAAGGAGATCACATCCATCTTGCAACAATGACAAAGACGTTAATATTATAGAAAAGGATGTGCTGTAATCACATGATGTGGCATTACACCCAGCAGTAAGATGTGCCATTTAGCTTGTGCTTCATATATTTTTGCCACTCCCCTTTTCCTCCCATTTGTAGCAGTGTCATGGGGTTGTAATTTGCTTTAAAAAATCTTAAGCTTTATTAATTTATAGATTTAATAGTTTCTGGGATGTTGGATGTTGGATGATTATTTGCCCTACAGGCAGTTATAAAAATCAATTACAGTGCAAAAAAAAATTATCTACTGGGCAAATCTTTCCAAGAATACATTTCTTATTTACTAATCTGGTCAGAAAATACTTCATTTGAATAATCTATATAGACACTGTCTTAACTGGTTTCATTCTCTTTTCCAAACTGTTCGGTTTTTTTCCCTTTCGTTTCAGCGGTGTTAATGGTAGATGATGACACGCTCATTAGTGCCCAGGACCTCGTTTTTGCTTTCTCAGTTTGGCAGGTAAATGCTGCTGTTGCCTTCATGAAACCATTTGTATGACATCTTATCTGGTGCTCAGCTAAAGAAGCATGAGAAATGTGTGAATTACCCCAAATAGTGTTGACAATATTGTCTAAGAGATAGATTAATCAAGATTTCCTGAGCTGAATCAAGCCATCCTTCCCTTTGGGAAGCCTCGCACCAACACCAGCGCCTTATCCACCCTTCAAAGCAATCTTGGAACTCTTTTTCTGGAATGGCCATCAGAACAGTTGTCTTATTACCCTGAATGTCCTGAATGTTGGCAAAATTTCTTCCTTTCAATATTTCCTTTATGTTCAGGTGAAGAAAACAGTCATTAGAGGCCACAGCAGGTGAATAGGAGGGTGCTTCAGTTATTGGTTTACTGGCTAAAAACTCCCTCACAGATAGTGCTTTGTAAGCTGGTGCATTGTTGTGATGCAAGAGCCACACCTTTCTCATGCCAAGATTTTCAGTTCAGATTTTCCCAGCTGTTTCTCTATCAATGTTTACTTGATCTGCTATGCTTCTCACAGTGAGCCAATGATTTTGATGCACAATTCGATGAATTTTTTAATGTTTTTGCCAGTTCTGCTCCTTAATGGTCACCCTGACTTCTCTTCATCAGTGACATTTTCTCTCCCTTTAGAAAAACATTTAATCTGCTTAGACACTGCTGTCGTCTTCCTGGCATTAACCCTATAAGCTTCAACTAACATGTCCCTGATTTCACTTCCACTGTTGCCAACTTTAACAAGAAATTCAGTGTTTTTTTCCAAATCCTAATTTGAATAAACAGACATAAATTGCTCACTATCCTATAAAAGCAGCTCTTTATTATTAAACATGTGTTAATAACAGCTGATTTTTCAAGTTGCACTATATTTCCTGAAACCCAAACAGATACTCTGAAGCCCTCTCAAATAATTGAGCACTACTACCCAATAAAATGTCTAATTTTCATGATTGTAACTGTTTTTAATTAGCCACTTACAATATAACAGCATTAGATATTAATGGTAAATGCTACAATACTCTGCAGGTAGCAGCCTGCAGAGTATTGTTAAAAACTGTAAAAAGTATTGTAAAAACTGGAGTTTTTAACTTCAGGCCTCGTATAGTGATCAACAAATTGAAAATTTTCCATATCAGCAGTTTTTTCCAGCCCAGTAAATAAAAGAAGCTTAGGCAATAAGTTTTAATTTGATACGTCAGCTGTGAGATTTCTGTTTAAGGTGAAAAAAATTAATTTACCTGAAATGGAGTATAGGAGATGCAGAATATGGGGAATGTGGTTAAGTAGAACAATAATTAAAATTAGATGAATGTGATTTGGGGCTTTATTTATAAAAGCATCAAAAACAATTTTAATTCTTAGACCAAGATCATCTGACTCCTTAAATTCAGTCTGAACTGTACCCCACGTAGTGTGAGGACTTGGGTTTGTACGTAAGCAAGCAGAACTGGAGTAGACATCTGCCTCTGGGCTGGCCCACGACCTTCACTTTCAGGCTTTTCTCTTTCCTCCGGTAGCCATCTGTGACATTTCTTTTCTTCTCCGTGTTGTGCAAATGTCTCCCCTTCTCTGAAGGCTCCCATCCTTTATCCCCCATCTGTTGACCTTCCCCTTGGCCTCTGGCAACACAATTGTCCTTCTATACTCAATGTTCCCATCAGATTTACCCAGCTACATTTATAACTTCCTCATAATATTGCAATTCCTTGTTCACATACCCCTATCATACTCTTATCTAGACTCTGAGTTCTTTAAAATGGTCTGTGGGTGTGAATATTTGTGTGTGTGGAAGCATGTCTATGTCCCTAGTTCACCTTCTATTCAATAAATGAATGAAACTCAAAGTATTTGTGAGAGTGAACTACACTTGTCAACCCAGTAAGTCCTTACCTCTTTCCCATGCTCCAGTCTTTATGTGCTGATTTTTGTTTTATTTTATGTCAGTCTCCCCTTGTTAATATTGTATTTTGTCACCATTTATTCCTTCTTCAAAGATAGTGACACGTCACTCTCACTTATATATACATTTTTTTTATTTATATGATTTCATATTTTTAAAAAAATACTCAAGTTGAGAAAGAATAAAATGTTTAAAATCAAAAGTGACATTTATGAACATTAAAATCAACATGAAAAATAATAAAATCATACATGTAAGCCAAGCACAGTAACTCACATTGTAATCCCAGTGACTCAGGAGGAGAGGCAAGAGGATTGCTGGAGGCCAGGAGTTGAGACCAGCTTGGACAACAGAATAAGAACCCCCCACCACATCTGAAAATAAATGGGCATGGTGGCATGGACCTTTGGTCCCAGATGCTTGGGAGACAGAGTCAGGAGGATCACGTGAGCCTAAGAGTTCAGGGTTACAAGGAGCTACGATTGTGCTACCACATTCCAGCCTGGGCAACAAAGTGAGATCCTGTCTGTAAGAAAGTTAAAAATAAAAAATAAAAATCATACATGTAGATCCATAATTTTGAAGATTCCTAAAAGATTAGAACAGTTTTTCAAAATAATCACATTATGTCTTATTTCCTACAATAAATACGTTATCATGTAGTCAGTTTTTCTTGCACAAATCCCAGTCACCGAAGAGTCCAGTCCTTCAACCTGTGCTGTTTATTCATATCAGATATTGTTTGAATTAGGAGAACATTGGTGAGGTTAGGAAATTTGTTTTCAGAGAGATTTGGGTTCTGGTAGAATTTGACTAATCAGTTTATCAGAACAGATTTACGAAGTTGCCTGGAGTTAGATGAAATTGAGATACAGAAGGCAGGAATAAGGAAAAGTGACACATCAGTTTCATTCTCTCATTCTCTTTTCCACTGTGTCTTCTCTAAAGAAATGCCACACTTACTTGTTCTTTCTCTCTCTTTTCAGCAATTTCCTGATCAAATTGTAGGATTTGTTCCTAGAAAGCACGTCTCTACTGCATCAGGTGTGTACAGTTACGGAGGTTTTGAACTACAAACATCAAGTCTTGGAAATGGTGACCAGTACTCCATGGTGCTGATTGGAGCCTCATTCTTCAACAGCAAATATCTTGAACTCTTTCAGAAGCAGCCTGCTGCGGTGCATGCTTTGATAGATGAAACGCAAAACTGTGATGATATTGCCATGAATTTTATCATTGCTAAGCATATTGGGAAGACTTCGGGTGTCTTCGTGAAACCTGTACTCATGAGCAATATGGAAAAAGAAAGCAACAGTGGCTATTCTGGGATGTGGCATCGAGCCGAGCACTTTCTCCAGAGGTCGTATTGTATAAATAAGCTTGTTAGTATCTATGATAGCATGCCCTTAAAATATTCCAACATTATGATTTCCCAGTTTGGTTTTCCATTTGCCAACCACAAAAGTAAAATGTGAAAGTATAACAAAAACAAACCTGAAAACTGCTTGGTCTTTGAGTAGCTCCCCCATGCTTTGTATTTTTTTCTTTTAAGCAACATCATGAACTTTATCTACTGCAGAAAGGTCTACAGTACGGAATAAAAGCATGGTGCATCTAGGATATAAGAATCATGAAACTTCACAAACCAAGAAGCTGCCCATCTTATTCAGACAGACCTTCTCTTGAGGAGTTTCTATCGGGGATAATAAGACCTTGATCAGTGATTTTATTGTTTACATCCTGAGACTGTTCTATGATTTTTTTTGACTCTTGGCATTTGCCTTAAGGACCTGTAGCAAGCTCTTTCCAGGATTAGAAGCCCAAGAGAAGCATATCTGCACTTTTTCACTAAAGGTTGATTGTTTTAATTTGAAGCCTGAAAATGCCTCTTTAGCAAAAGCCTGTATCGTTTGTACAAGCCATGTGAAAATACTCTTTAGTCCTGTGTGAAAACGAGGAAAAATTGCAGCTACCAGTGCTTTTGTGGTCCTTCCAACCAACTCCTCGAAGACTTAACAGCCCAGCACTGTTTTGATGCAACTGTGTACTTTCATTTTTGTTGATAAGTCCATCATAACTGAGAGGGTTAATTTTAGTGGCTAAAGGATATATAGTTGTTTGCTTGATTTTTGTGAACATTTACTGCATGGAACACAAAACAATGCAGCCTGTGTTTCTTTTATACAGCTTTGTATGCAGCCAGGATACTAAATGTGTTACTAGATTCTGACCCTCAGAATGTACATTCTTATATTTTACATAAAGTGTGTGTTATTTAAGAAACGTGTAAAAAAAATTCTGAGAGAATAAATAATTAGGAACTGGCAGAAATTAAAACCCTTAATATCAAAAGATCTTTACTGTTACGGCATGGATTATCTCATGGATACTAAAAAGTTGTGTGTATTACACTGTAGAATGTGAGGTGGCGGGGCCCCCATACCTTGGGAGAACGTCCAAGGGATGAACTCCCCTCAACTAACCCTCCTCAGCAGATAACAACGTATTTTCTCTAAGCTCCAACTTTTAACCCAGCAGAATAAAAACACGTTTTCCTTTAAACTTTAGCTTTTAACTTCATAGCTGCACTTCAGAGCAGTCACGTACATTTTCCAACTAATCTTGTAAATACGTAGTATTGCCCATATTTTGGAGGTCACAGTAGTAACAGATTATGTTCACTTGGGACTCTGTGCTTGCTTCTCTTCTTATAATTAAATTGAAGATGGGTCTTGTTTGTACTCCCTCCTTAAAAATCAAGCTGTTTGGGCACTTTGGGTGCTGGTGATAGAGAAAAATATCCCAGACCTTCCCATCCCATCTTGACCTCTCCATTCCATCTCTGTCTCTTGTGTCTTTGTCTTTCGTGTTTCGTCTCGCCATTTCCCACTGATCCCACTCTGGTTCATTTACTTTTCGCACTGGTTCACGAAAGGTGGCGCCCAAACAGGGACCAGAGTGTTTGTACCCTTTGCTGTGAAACTGTGCAGTTGGTGATTTAACCTGGGAGAATTATTGTTGGGAATAATAAATTATGGGACAGTCATGCTCAAAAGAGCAAGAACTCTTTATTCTAATGCTTAAATCTGTGATAAAAACAAGGGGCTTCCATGTTCAGTTGCTCAGTTAGAACGCTTTATGCACTTTGTTCAGAAAGTTCGCCCTTGGTTTCTCGAGGAAGGCACTGTTAGTGCTGCCATTTGGGAAAAAGTGGAAGAAAAGTTACATTCTCTTATACAGCCCATGGGCCTTCTAAAATTCTTATTAATAGCTTTACTCTCTGAGAACTAATGAGAAATTGTTGAAATCCCAGTGATGAACAGGGACACCCGCCCCCCTCTCCAATCTATATAGTGTTTATTTCCTTCTGCTCCAGCAGAAGAACCCCTTCCCCCTGAATTCCAACGAGAGTTACAAGATGAGGGACAAAAGTATGGAAAGGAACGTTCTTCTTCTACCTCAGGTGAAAACGTAGACCTTTCTGGGCTGGCAGGTATTGTTGGACTTCAGATTTTTAATCTCCCTAAACCCTCTGTCTTGCCCCTCTTTTCACCCTCCTCCCCTACCAAAGCGCAAAGAATTTGCCTCTGTAGCAGTTTTCAGTTCCTGACTGGGAGGCCTTTTGTTCTGGCAACAAATCAAAATTTGTGCCTATTAATTCAAAAACAAATTTCAGTTTTCAGTTTTCAGTTCCTGACTGGGAGGCCTTTTGTTCTGGCAACAAATCAAAATTTGTGCCTATTAATTCAAAAACAAATTTCTTAACATAAGACAGTGATTGCCCCCCCTGAAAATTGCAAAAGAAGGCTGCCGGCAGCTGCAAAAGAAATCCTCCTCCAAAGATCAAAACAAACTCTACACTGAGCTAAAATAACCTTGAAAACAGCTATATAACAGATAACAGCATCTTGGTTTCTTAAGAAGCGTAATCATTATCATTAACTCTTTGTACCCTTTGTTGTAACTATTACTGTGCAGTTGCCATTAAACTAAGGACGAAAGTATAGTAAAGTTTGGAAAAAGCTGTTTATTTCACCATTCCTACCAATCCCACTCTGGTTCATTTACTTTTCACGCTTAGTTCTTGCATTCAGAACTTTTTTCCCTAAAAAAAACCCAGGGTACTATTTATTCATAGTGATGAAACCTAAAGTACATAGGTACAGGAAAAAATAAGAATTGAATCGTAGTGGAGGAATTCTGTAGGGAGTGTGCATGGGTTCACTGTTAAGGCATAACATTCTCTGTTACGTGAATTATTATCCGTGTTCCACCCATCGCCTGGGTTTAGTCCTTGTTCACTACTGGTGGCAAGGAATTCTTCATTAGGCTTTTTTCTTCTCTTCTTCCTTCTTAGATAATACCAGTATATCCTCCAAATTGCAAAGCTGTGAGGATATTAAGATAACCATGATTAATATTCTAATAATGAAGTCTTGTTCACTTATAGGTCAGTGGATGTTGTTCCTTCGCACTGGAGTTTGTATGTGTCTTAATGCAGTCAGATTTAAAAAATAAAAAACTACAAAAGAACTTGGAACCTTATTAAAACTCAATGTCAATCATCTTTGCCCAACCTTGGTAATACCTTTTTGCCTTTTGGGATTTCACTAATAGATAAATACAATAAACTTTTACCATCCATGTGTTACATGTTAATTAAGTAGACTGTTTTTGTGGTTGGTGTTTTCACAAATTTCTATCTATAATAATATTTTGCTGAGAATAAGGTAGAGATATAGCTATATTCCCCCACTTCCCACTGGAAAAATATTCTCAGATTTCATTTCTCATCTTGTGTTTTCAAACTCGTCATATCACACAAGTTTATCATATGTCTTCAGATGTTCTAATGCAAGTATGAAACCCAAGAGTAGTTCATTCTATATTACAAAGACTCCTGCACTGTGTCTAGACTCCAAGTAAAATCATTTCTCACTGAAGTTCTCTTATTCTTGCCCACAAATAATCCAGAAAAGAGATTCTGAGGCTTAAAACTTAAAGAGAAGCAGTGTAAGCTTAGGAGTTGAATGTACACCTTTGCCATTAGAGTACTTGGTCTCAAATCTTTGCTAGACCTCATTCATTTAACTACTCAGAGCCTCAATTTTCTCATCAGCAAAATGGGAATAATGTCTGCCTGGGGGTTGTTTTAAGGAATAAAGGAGACAGCTTGCATAAAACAGGAGCACAATTGGAGTGTTCATTTTAGATGGTCCGTAAGTGAAAGTGATTGGAATGACAGTGTTATTGACAACAAGAAAGAACTCAATGGTACAGTTCACACCTGAGGTATTAGAAAGCCCCAGCCTCTGCCAGTTGAAAAATTCAGGAAGTTATTCCTAGCTAACAACGGCCAAGGAACTGTGACAATTTTATCTCATATTCATTATTCTCTTTATTTCAAATACCTTTTTTCACGTCATTAAAGCTGTACCTATTTATTCTAGCAAGTTTGACATGTTCGGAACAGTATGAAGAAGAAATCAAAGTCTTTCTTATTCCTTCAGACTTTTCTAGGCATATATTGTACTAGCATGATTTATTTGGTATTTCATTGCATGGATAAACTATGTAATCAATTATACTGCTCTTTTATTTGATACTTTTTTGCTATTAAAAAAAGCATTTAGATAGTCCTTGCCTTAAACAGACATCTTTGAGCATAGCCATAATTATTTCTTTAAAATCCAGCCCATGCAAGTTCAATACCTGGATCCAGCTAGTAGTATGTATGTTTTTCAGGGTTTTTATACATATTGCTAACCGCCTCCAGAAGTGTTGCCATGGCTCCCTATTCATATCACATCTGAGAACAGCTGTTTCCCATCAGTCGTCCCAATGTTGCACATTCATTGAAAAGTTCCTTTCAGTTTTTTTTTTCTATGTAGAAAATTCTTGAATGCTGCAGGATTTGAAAGGCTGCTGCTCATTCATAGAATTGTGTTGAGAAGGCTGAAAAGGGAGGCATTCAATTGTCGAGGGCAAAATAAGCTTCGGGAAGCAACTAAAGTGCTTCTAGAAAGTACGCCAAGGTTTCCAGCATAGAAAGTGAAATGCTGACCTTTTCCTGGCCCCGGTAATAAGCCATTTGGAAACCACACAAAACATTCACATTTCTTTCCGTCAGGAGTGGATAAGCATTGCGGTGTGGAAGACAGAAGTTCTCCACTGTACACGTGTGAGTACCTGCACGTGGGGCGGGTGGGAAATGGTGGAGGGAGTGGAGGATAATTCTGCAATGGAGGGGAAGGGTGCAGGTACTGAGATCTCAAGGCGCGCTGCAATGGCTCGAGAGAGCTCGTGTCATCCTGGATCCCACACCAGTGTTCATCGTGCATTCTCCCACTAGCCTCCTTTCAACTTGGCTTCCTGCCTTCTCCTTCCCTATTTTCTTTCCCCATCCTTCTTCCCTTCCCTCCTTTTCTCCCTTTCCCTTTTCCTGAGGGACCTTTTAATGTAAAACCCAGATATTTTCAAAAATATACTTCCCAAGGATGAAATGCAGAGAACTTTTGATACACGAGAAAAAAACATGCCCTGAGTCCTGCCTCCACTGAATTTCTCTACCTGCAGCATTCGCGACCTGCTGTAAAATGTCACAGGTTGCTTTGGTTCTCAAAGGACATTCTGTGTAGAGGCAACTTTGTAGTTACCGGGAAGATAAAAGAAGTTTTTTTTAAGCCATCACTGATAAAGAACAGTTGAGCTAAGAGATTAAAAAAAAAAAAAAGATTTGGTTGTGAAATAGTAGTTGTGTTGAAAGTATACTTTATAGCATGAGAAGAAGAAAGAATAAATGTGGAAGAAAACAGTTTAAGGAACCTACTTCAGCTGTAGCTCAAAAGGGATATTTAAACAAAGTGTTTAATCTGGAGATACCTCCAGCCTCTTCCCCTTTTCATATGTCAATATTTCTTTTATTTGTAAAGGAAAAGAATCAAAATTCTTGTGTGGAATATTTTAAATAGTTTTTAAATAAATCTGAAGAAAGCATTCTTGCTTTATAGGGTGATTCTTAACCTGGACTAATTTTGCCTACCAGGGGACATCTGGCAATGCCTAGAGACATTTTTGCTTGTTACAACGGGGCTTGTGCTAGTGGCGTCCAGGGAGGGGAAGCCACTCACCAAACATGGGTTAGTGATGCTGCTGAACGTCCAGCCGTACACAGGACAGGCCTTCACCACAAAGCAGCAAGCATCCCAAACTTCACGGTACTGAAGTGGAGGAAGACATGCGGGCATCACGGAATAGAACATCTGATTAATGATGTATCCACACGGCACACACTTTGTCACAATGCAAGTTACATTTCTAAAGTTTTATCCTGTGTAGCAATGCCTATTGGAACCAAAAATTATGGTGGGATGTGCTCATATTACCAATAAGACCTCAGGTGTATGATCCTTTTTCTTTTTCTTTTTTTTTTTTTTTTTTTTTGAGACAGAGCCTCAAGCTGTCCCCCTGGGTAGAGTGCCATGGCATCACGCTCACAGCAACCTCCAACTCCTGGGCTCAAGCGAGTCTCTTGCCTCAGCCTCCCAAGTAGCTGGGACTAC